TTAACCCTTTGCGGACGGAGACGCTCGACGGGCGAGCGTCGCTGTGGACGACAGGTATTGGAGCGTGCAGTAAAGAAAATTTTCACGTCGCATATTTGCGTTTTACAAATTAAGGCTTTATTCAAATAAATGATTCAAAAAATCCTAAAAATTATAAACAAACAAATTTACTAACAAATAACTTTTTTTATGAAATCTAAGAAAACCATAAACAAACAAATGTAGTCGTGTTTACATATTATACGTTTTATATTCTTCCTTTGTGTGGTATCGCTCAAAACAATCACCTATGTGCAAGGTCGGCTTAGCTGAACAAGTAGCACAATAGTACATCGATTCTCTCCTTCCATGTTTTACCTTCCGATTCGAGCATACGACACAATCTTTGCTTCTTCCTGTCTCATTTCGCCGAATAATATGTAGAAGGCCGTTGAGCCTTTCCGCTGTTCCAGAAGTCGAAGGAGGCTTGGGATCACCATCTCGAAAATCTCCAATCAATTGATCTACCAAGCGACGTACAAATTCTATATGGCTTAACTTTTTTATGTTGTATTTCTTGTGATGTTCCTGATACAATAAATAGGAATTTATCACAGAAACGTCCAATCCCCAAAAAAATAATTTTCGCCACCATTTTTGGGACTTTCTCATAAAACAGTACGTGCCTGTGTACTGGTCTGCTTTGTCTACCCCGCCCATGTATTTATTATAATTTAGAACCACATCTGGCTTCACAGTATCAGTTACTCCTTCTTTCTTTGACCTTTTAGTGACGGTTTTTGAAGATGAGGTAGCACAGGTGCTGAGCATGGTCACTATACGCTTGTCTCTCCAAGCCAATAATAGTAAATCTTTCCGTCTGTAGGCAACCATCTCATTTTTCGCAATCTTTGGATTCTTTATTTCATCTGGAATAAATTTCCTATTTGTCTGGATAGTTCCAGTCAGATGACATTTCAGTTCTAGTAGTGCATCTGCCAAGGGAATGCTTGTGAAATATCGGTCGTTGAAGATATGGTATCCTACAGCGCCAGGATTGGATTGCAATAGATTGTGGTATAGTTGTAAGACTATTCTTGTACTTATTGGCAGATCTGGTCTAAGTAATTTTTCTGTAGTAAAACTGCCATAATATGGTAAAATAGTCTGTATATAACCAATATTGGCGTCTGCAAGAACGTAAATACGGATACCCCACTTGGTTGGTTTCTGTGGGTTGTACGTAATAAAAGTTATTCGCCCTTTGAATTTGACGATGGATTCATCCACTGATAATTGCACCCCGGGTACAAAATTTTCTCGACATCTACTATCAATGTAATCCAAAAAATTGCTAATTTTCTGCGTCCTTGTTGTCATGTTTTGTCTACCTTCAGTATTTTCATTTGTATGAAGCATCCAGAATACTTGTAGAAATCGATCCCTCCTGAATACTTCGGCAAAGTACGGGATCCTGCATTTCCTGTCGGTGCTCCAATAATCCTTCAGGTTCGGAAGTGGCATTGTTCCCATAAGCAATATTATCCCGAGAAATGCTCGCATTTCTTTTAGTGTGACATTAGTCCATGTACGCCATATGGACCGCTTTTTTACATGTTTTTTTTGTATCGTATCATTTGCGTACCGATTAGTCTCCTCAACTATTTTCTTGATCAACTCTTCCGTAAAGAACGAGTTGAAGAAATCTAACGGTTCTTTATAAGTTGATTGTAGTTGTGAACCAGGGGTTCGTGATTCAGAACTAAACTGTATTTTTTGTGGAATGATATCGTGATTTGTAACATTCGTCCATTCATTATCACTACGGCCATCATTTTCCTGAATATTCATCTCTTCATTGCTGCTGCTATCACTGCCCACATTGAAGCGCCTGAGTGCATTACTTGTTGCAAGGATTTCACTTCCACTGGATGAACTAATGACACCTGTGTCGTCAGAGTCAAACTGGAACTCATCATTACTGTCACTATTGAACGTACTATCTCTGGATCTTTTCGCCATCGTGTGTAGGATGTTATAAAATATAAAATATGCGGAAAACTTTGCTGGTTGCTCTGGCAGTGACACTGAAATACTGACTCGACAAACTGAAATTCGTTCTGACTCTACCATGGTCTTGCATCGTAAGTTTACATTATACGGAAGATAAGACTTCATCGTCCAAAAGTCTCAAATTTCATTGGGAGACCACTTGACGTCTTAGGCTAGTATCCCCATGTGTATCTTATCGTCTACGACGG